TCGCCGGTTTGGCCCCAAGCGGCGCTTTTTCTAGCCCCTGGAGAGGGGGGGGGGGGGCAACATCTGGAGATGGTTTAAGCTCCACAATGCTGGCAACATAGCCCGGCCAGACTTTCTGATCAAATTTAGAAAGTCTACTACTTAGCTTTGAGTTTTTTTGTGTACCTAAAGCTTAGCACATATTGATGCTGTAGCCAGCTGGATATTCTCCCAGAATGGAAGAGAAGAACATGGAGTTCTCTAGACTACTTCCTTCTTTGCCAATACTGTTCCTTTGCTTGCTCATGCATTGCTAAAAGTGGTTGCGAGGAAGTTGACCTAAGAGCCACAATGGCACCATGAAGATATGCAAGGGGCCTACTTGCATCATCTGACAGGAGTATTGTTTCCCTTTTTCTTTTTTGCATTTGACCATGCGTTGTCCAATTGGATGAAAGATGGCATTTGTCTTCTACATGCTCTTCCATGCGATAGAGGTTAAAACAAGGAAAATGAATGTAGCTTTCAGAGAAAAACTAAAATAAAGAATGCAAGTTGTTCATGAGCTGCTCATCTGATAAGTTGATGTGATTCTTGCTGAGAATATGTGCATTTTTTTATAAATTTTAATCCGGAAATACAGTAGGTAAAATATGATGAACATGGTAGACATAATATTTGGACCAACAAAAGTACTAGACGAACAAGACAAGTAATCAAGTATGTAAGACAAATATAACATGTCCATATCGATTGTTAGTACCAAAGTTCTGAAAATGATCCCTCATAGAAGGGATAAGAGCACATAAAATTTGGTGGATGAATATATGTTTGCAGTGACAACATTGTCGGAGGTTGACATGTTGTGAAGGTAGTATTCGTCGTCGGGAAGTAGTCTTTGCTGGGCAAGTAGTCCCACAAGAACAGTTCGCGGCAATGGTTTGGCTTCTTTCACGTGTGGCAAAAAAAGATGAGATACATGATGCATAGGTCGTGGCCCATCTTGCCTCGCTCACGAAGCACTGATGCGTGGGCAGACACGAGGCTTGGAAAGTAAGGTGTCGGAGAAGTGCGCGTGTATGTGTTCTTTTCTCATGTTCCTAGTGTGTATAAAACATCCAACCATATATTTTTGTCTAACTCACCCTTCAACCACTAGCAAAGTGAGAGTAAACTTTAACACCCCTTGTGGTGCATAAAGGAGCTAGGTGGGCCTAGGAATAATTTGACATTAATAATGTGCTAAGCCCAAATAATTTCAACAATTATAGTGAAGGGAATGCAATCTCCTAGGTGGTGTAACCATGGAGCTGCATAGATTCACCCTGCGACCACTCGATGAACTCAAGAACTGGTAGCCGAGGTTCAATTCTGATGTTTCAAGTGCTCGTACGTAGGATATCAACACTTTGGTGTGCTGCACTCTGAGGATGATATCAACACTTTGGTGTGCTGCACTCTGAGGATGATTTGGCTAGAGAGGAATAGTCGCGTTTTCAACAGAGTGCCATCCTTGCCCTTGGTTGTCACCTTGCGAATTTGCAATGAGTTTTTCCTGCGGATGTTGGCTAGGGTAAGTGGATCGCGGGACGATAGTACGAGTAGTGTGGTGGAAGTTCTGTGGGTGGGTGCTAGCCAAAGTGCGATGCACCATTTGTACATCATCCCGTCGATGAGATCCAGGCGGTGCTTTGGGGTGTTTTTCTTTTTCAGGTTTGGGCAAGTGCATGCTTACACTTTATGTATTGGTCGGTGTTCATACCTTCATGTCTCCCTAGTAGAAGAGCCAAGTCCGTCCTAACAGTAAACAAACTTGCACGCCAGAGATGGAACTTGACAAAGTGTGACCTGTTAGCCCATAAGTCGGTACAGTGACGAAGCAAGTGTTGCTTATTAGATATAGTCGTATGAGGTCACAATTTACCCAACATGATCATATCTTGGGTGAACAAGTACTATTGGGGATTTGAACATGTACTAGTCAATTTTGGATTCGCTGCAGCGCATGACCACTTTGCTACTTTTAATTAATGGATTTTTTACAAAGGAGGATTACCCAGGCCTCTGTATCTGGACGATGCATACAGCCATTTTATTAATTATTCTCAGAGACCTTACAAAGCATTACATCAGTAAGCCTGAAGCCACCATCTAGGCGACACCTATCGCTACTCATATCCCCTTGATGCAGGGGTCCCGAATGTCTAAGCCTAATACCAAACAGACATCACACCAAAGTCTAACATCTAATATCGGATGCCCCATTCCAGCCACAAGCCGGGAATGGGTCACACACCGGTCCGATGCACTCACCGAGGCTACCGCCGCAGTCATCCACCTAACCATCTTCAGAGCAGGTACTGACGCAAAGACCTTGCCAGATCAGCTGTCGACGCCACTATGGCACCAGACAACGCCACCGCCCTGCGTGAGGCCATCACGCCACGTCCAGCGCCGAGACCCCGCTGCTCCATGCTGTCGAGACCCGCCGTCGTCGACGCGAGAGAAGGCACAACACACCACCTCACGCCTCTTCCATCCGGCGCCGCTCCACAAACGATGCCCTCAATAGGGAACACGACAACGCAGCGCCGCCATCGTCCGATCCGGTGATCTTAGGATTTCTCCCGGAGCGGCACGAGCAGGTTGACGATAGTTGCTTGACGATGCCTTCATCAAGGTAACGACGCAGACGCCGCCATCGCCCGCCATGACCGGAGTTGGCTCGTTTTTCACCGGCGACTATGTCTCCCCAACTCGCCGCCGGTGCTAATAGTGGGATCCAAGATCCGTCACTACCAGCCTGGCCAACCGCCTTCGATGGAGAAGGCAGCCACCACCACCATGCCCGGCACAAGAGACCCGGACGTCCTCGTGCCGCAAAGATTACCCGGGGGGATCTCCTCTTGCCGTTGTCGAGACGAGGCGAAGCCGCAGTGGATCTCGATCTAAACCCCTCGGGCCCAGATTAGATCTCATTGCAGCCAAAATCTCATCCGCCAACGGCCGCCGGAGATCTCCTGACCACCGCCAACCCGCTGTGCACTGTCGTTGGAGGAGGAGGGAGATGGACGCCGCTGCCCCCACGCATTACCGCCGGCCGAGGACTGCGTCGCCTCACCACAGGGGCTTCGCCCCGCGGTGTCCTCAGCGACGGCGGCGGTAGTGGGAGGCGATGGAGGGGGAGGGCTGAGGGCGGTGTGGACGGGGACTCCCCGGGGGCGGCGCGCCGCCGCCGCCTCGGGGGAAAGAGGTCGGGAGGTCGGGGGGAGAGAGGACGTCACGAGGGTGGGAATAAAGTAGTCTTTATACTGAGCGGTCGCCTTTCCCTGAACAAACTGGCACTCGAAAGTTTGATCATGAATGTAATTTGGAAACCTTATCTTGCTAGTAATTCTTATATCATCACCAGCGGCGCTCTGTTGTTATGGATGTAATGATTTCGCGATCTCCCCCAAATAAGACTGGACCCATACGGTTTAGCAGGTGTTAGATGGTGATATAAGATGATTGGTTATCATAAAGGACAAGGGTTTCATGTGGGTTATCAAGTGAGACGTCACCTATGGTCCAGTCCAATGCTATCGTAAACTAGCTCTTTCTATTCTATAAGGAATCCATGCTTGATTTAATTTTGGGGGGCGCCGGAAAGAATCTTGAGGGATGCCCTTGTTTAGGACTAATCCCAATACATTAATCAGATTGCATTGCAGTGACGAAATTTCTTTAGGAGTAGACGACAACACGTACTATTCACGAGCATGGTCAAGTGTTCACACATGCATTCCGATCAGCCCCCGAGTTCGGGCTTCTTCGCACCAAGACCAATTTTCAAACGTTGTCACATTGTGAGCCTTGAATCATTTGCATATCTCAATGGATTTATTTCACCTGACCCGACCGGCCACCAAAATTAAACCGGAGCCACAAATACATTAGTCACTCCACACCATACAATCATGCAGAATACAGAAAAACACATGTGGCCCGACGCCGACGACGGGCACGCGCAAGATGATCGGCCGTTGCCTCGCAGCTATGCAAGATCGTCGCAACTTGCATGGCAAATTGGGCAATTTGGCGACAGCAACCTGATCCTTGGATGCACTTCATCCGCTCCGCGCAATGCTGACAAGGAGAAGGAACAAGCGGCAGAGAACAAGAAACAACAAGGGGGGGCAGACGATCTCAACAGAGCCCTTGAATTTGGGCTGCTGGAATGCGACCGCCGCTACGCTAGTGTGCAGTGACCGAGTGCCATGGCCCATGACAGTGCCGCCGTAGCACTTTTTCTAATGGAGGATACTGTTGTATGTAACACTACACAACACACACGCAGAGAGATAGTAGAAAGCAAGCGTGAGATATTGTGATTAGAGGTTGACAATGCTTGGTGACAAGCCTTTTGGAGTTTAATCTACTCCCACATGCCCAATAGAAAAGCGCCGTTCATGGCCTATCTGCACTTGTTTATGGCCACCGGTCGAATCGGATCCCGTCCGCGCACTACTTGTTACAGCGACAACTCGTTGCTGGACAAGTTTGGGACAGCTCATTGGATCAAGAAGAGTACAAAATGCAGGTGCGTAAAGTCAGGAACGGGGTGGAAAAACACATGTATGCTACTCGTAGGTATACTGTATGTAGAAAGGTGCCATTCATTCAGCCTATCTGCACTTGTTCATGGCGACAAAGTCCCGTATTTCCTCGTAGGATTTACAGCGACAACTCGTCGCTAGTCCGGCCAAACAAGTTTCGGGTCGGGACAACTCTCACTGCATCAGCAAGAGTGCAATCTATGGTACTACTCTGCTGTAATTTACAGGAAGTCAGGGACAGGGTGTGGGGGAAAATTGCATCCGTATCCTAGCTTGTGCTGTAGACATGTATGGACACTGATCAGAAGAAACAGAACAGATGGAGGATGGATCTTTACTACTGAACGTACTATCGACGAAAATGATTTTATGTACTCTCTCTTTCGTTTGTGCACAGCCATTGCAATTGCATGTCTCAAAGGCTCAAACATCCTCGGCGTATCTCGCGCTGGTGGTCGTGTGGTCGTCCTCCCGGAGCAGGAACAGGCCGTCGGCGGGGCCCTTGGCCCGGTCGTCGAACCGCTCGGACAGGAAGAAGCTCCGGAGGGAGTTGAGGTTCCACGGCGCGTCCACCTCGACGGAGAAGGCGGCGCGCACGGGGCGGTGGTCCGACAGCCGCGACTCGCACCGGTCGTACCGGGTCTGCCTCAGGCCGGCGCCGCGCCACAGCACGCGGTCGCACCACGCCGGCGCGCGCCGCTTCAGCTTGTCGCCCTTCCTCCCCAGCTGCGCGCAGCCGTAGTAGGCGTCCGAGTTCCGGTGGTACTTGTACGTCGGCGAGAACGTGATCGCCCCCTCGCTCCACCCTTTGAACGTCCCTCCTTCCGACGACACCTCGCCCCGCAGCTACAAAAGAACAATCAAATCACACGTAAGTTTTTATTAAAAGTTTGAAATTTTGAATTTCCTTGTGTTTTGTATAATAATAAGTTAGATCGTTTATCCTCAAAAAAAAAAGTTAGATCGTTGTGTGCTGGTTGAATTTGTACCTGGTCGTTTTCGAGGAGGGTCTTCCAGTCGTGCCGCTCCACCAGCAACCGGGTCTTGGCCTCGGGCAGGGAGATCCGATAGTTGAGGTCGCCGAGCAGAATCACCCGGCTGCGCAAGAGTACAAACAGTAAGAAACTATACTGGCACACCGGGCCGGTCAAGGTCTACCGCATCAACATGCATGCATGATCGCCACTTGGTTCCGAGCCGTCTTTGTCACGGGCGCCGGCCGGTGAAATTAAGCATTCTGATTGTGGAAACTTGCAGTTACCGTCGCTATTAAGAGGATATTTCATACTACTTCCCTAGATCACATTCACCGGTCTGGCATAGAAAATAAGATACGACGCATTCACTCTGGCTACTTGCTGGAGTAGTTAATATTATTAGTCGTGCGTGCCTACGTGCATGCCGTGACATGATCAATACGTGTGTACAGTGGTAAACTGGCTGGCATGTATAGTTGTATAACCCTCTGTTGAACGGCAAATACCTACCCTTGATTTACCGGTGCCGTGGGCGGTGCAACCACAAGATAAGATAACGACCGCGGTGGCGAGCTCGATGAAATCGTGGCTGTAACCGGCAAGGACGGCGGCCGTTGATATTTCCCTCGCTTAATACTCGGCCGGTCAACGGCGACAAACCCGGCAGTACGATGTGATGCATTTTATATTTCAAATTACTCGTCACAGAAATAGATATAACTAGAACTAAAATACATCTAGATACATCCATACCTACGACAAATAATTCGGAACGAAGAGAGTACATACTAGTGAACTACTACTGATTTTTTTTTGCAGGCTGATGCCCTCTCTAGCTAGCCTTACCAAATGTTGGAAGGGTACCCTAAAAATAAATGTTGGAAGGGTTGGCTTGCCAATTTTTTGGCCAACTGTTTGGCAAAACTACTTATGGGAGAGGAATGGGTGTGCACCCATAGGCAGCCCATCCTTAAGCATGGGCAGCAAACAAGGTTTGCTACACGTACAGGATGTTACAGGGATGAGGGGTTTACAGGGTGTCGTAGTAGTTTTTAATTGGTCATTAGTAGAGGCACGGGCCCACCCCCGTTGAAATCAGGGTTAAGAAGGGGGGGGGGTGTGTTTAGAAAGTTTGGGCGGAGCCTATAGAAACCTGTAAAAGCCTGTACGTCTAGCATTTTTGGGCAGCAAACCAAACGGATTTGATCGACTTGCGGCATGCACGGAGCGCACGAAGGTAATTAGTGCAGGACGATCGATGTACTTACTCGTGATCTAGAATCTTGTGGGGCGAGGCGAGCGACGGGGAGGAGGAGGAGCAGTGGCGCCGCGGGAAGCTCGTCCGCCGGAGGATCTCCGCCGCATCGGCGTTGCGGTGCGCCTCGTCGCCCTCCCTGCCGCCGGACGCGAGGTGGCAGCACACGAAGCAGAAGCTCGTGTCACGCAGCCAAAACCTCACGGACACGGCACCCTGCACACAATTGAATCTTTTGTTAGTTGCCGTCCGATGTATCCTCGTATACTCCCCAAGCGCGCGGGCATGCACGCACGCACCTTGTTGCCGAGGCAGCCCATGACGCCGCAGCCGACGCAGGAGACGCTGGGGCGGCGGACGAAGCGGCGGAGGTCGCCGCGGACCCAGACGGTGAGCAGGATGCCCACCATCTGCTTGCTCACCACGCACCGGAAGTCACGCGACTGCAGGCCGCCGGCGCCGTCCCTCACCGGGTGCACCTTCTGCTTCTCCCCTCCCCCGGTGGCGCCCGGCGACGGCGACGGCGACGACCGGTTCAGCGCGGCCCGCACGAGCTCGTTCCACCGCATGCCGATGCGGTTCTTGTCCGCGCCCAGCACGTTCCGCGCTCTCAGCGGCACCACCTCCTGAAATCTGCACACCGATCGTACATGCCATTTTGTTACTAACCATGCATCCACAAGCCTATGCCGCATGAGCGTCGAGGTCACTGCTCGCTTGGTAATTACTACGTACCCGAGGACGTAGATGTCGTAGGTGCCGTTCCTGGTGTCGAGCCAGTCGGACAGGTCGAGGTCGTCCGGTGGCGCCACGCCGCCGACGTTCCACGTGCTGGCGAACAGCCTGGTCGATCGATCCATGAACCCTCAGTGGCCGGCCAACAATAAGAAAAACCAGCATGCACTCCACGCCACGCCGCAAGTTGGGGTGATGATGATGATCTACTAGCTAGAGCCTAAGCATGGTGGTTGGTGGCGGCTGATTGAGCCAGCAGACATGCATGCACGCACATACCTGTACTTGAGCGTCTTGTTCCGCTGCTGCGGCCGCGGGCGCTTCACGCAGCGCTGCGCGTCGGCGTCGGGGCTGCCGCACGCGTCGAACTCCTCCTCCGCGGCGCCGGCGGCCGCGGGGAAGTCGGCGACGAAGGCGTGGCTCCCGGAGGGCTTCCTGAAGAGCTTGTTGGCCACCAGCCTCGGCCACAGAACCTGGCCGCCACCATATGCACAGTTCAAAGTTAGCTACATACAAAGCTAGCTAGGGCCGGCTAAAGCAGATCGAGAGGGTACGCGACGCCTACCTCCGCCTGGCTCTGATTCTCCAGCATGGCGAGGTCGAGCGCGTGCGCGCACCGTAGCTTAGCTAGCTCGGCTACCGCTAGCTCCTCCTGGGCTGTGCTAGGTAAAGTGGGACGGAGGGGAGGGAAACGTTGGACGGGGTAGGCAAAGCGGGCTTAAATAGGCCGCGATCGGGACGCTAGGCGACGGGGAGCCAATAGACAAGTCCTGCCACTGCGCGGGGTGGATGTGACCGGATGTCGATCAGTGTACGCCTCGCACTGCATGGTGCCCGATGCGGTGACGCGAGACGGGAAGAAGGGGGAGGATCGGTGGCCGTGACAGTGGGGATAAAAGCCGCCTTTTGAGCCTCGATCTCTAGGCGGTCAAAGAGGTGTGGGATCACGGTGAGGTGAAGATAAACTAGATTTTTCCGGGGGACCAACGGGCCGGTGAGAAGCTGCTCATTCAGCCATCAGCCACAGTTGTGGTGGACTGGCGTACGCTGGCTGGCCGTGGTGCATGCTAGCAAAACTCCTATGTCCAGCTGAGGCACTGGTGTGCTGTTGCCACGACAGTGAGTCCATCCAACGCCTGCTGACTAGTGACTGTCAGCTTCGTTCGGAGAGTTGTTCTTGATCGTTTTCGGTGTGCTTTTGTTTGGGGTTAGGAAAAAGGTTCCAGTCTGGTAGTGTTCTGGTAATTTATTGTCCAGTTATAAGCTTTGTGGGACCGATGTTATTTTTACAAGTGTAGTTTTTGTCAGCAGGTTATATATAGTTACATATAGGTTGTCGATGCTTTTAATAGCTTTTGAGATCTCATTGTTACACATGTTTAATTAACATCTCCTTGATATAATATGTCCCTTTTATATTAAAAATGTGTATATGCATAAAAATTGGAAGCGCTTCTGCGCTTCGTTGCTATGACAAGTAGAGCCGCTGCCAATAGTCCAAGAAGCAAGATCTTGGGGTTGTGATCTGCGAGCTCAACCACAATAATAGAAAAATAGTCTTGTTAAGTCTCAGTCAATTGAAACTTGATTATGTCTCAGTCGATGCTATATTAGTGAGCATACATTGAGATCCGGACAAAAAATATTTTCAGATTTTCTTTTTCTTTCTTACATGGTATGCCTCTTGAGTGAGACTTGTTAAATGTCAGTCGACTAAGACCTAGCCAGACCCATAGAAAAATGATATGTTTTACATGTTTTTGGTAAAATAATTGCGGGGTAGGCTTTTCGTAATTCGTGGTATGCTGCATTTTCTTTCATACCCGTAACATATTTGTGTGTGTGTGTGCGCGCGCGCAGGCGCATATTATGCCTTTGAGAACTCTAGTATGCCAGTTGTCTACAAAATCAACTTTCTCATGGCTCTTTTTTTTTATTGTTTGTTTGACCATATTTTATTCAGTCCGCTAAAATGGTTTATGTAACGCACATGTTCAGTACTCTTAGCACTTTTGGAATTAATCTGAAATATGATGTCTAAGCCTAGAGTTTACTCTTAATCAATTACCAGAGTGCCTGGCCCTTAATTTTTTTTTGCGGTTGGGCCCTTCAAGTTTTCACGGATAAATGTCTAGAGTTAACAAGAGAGCACATAGGCTATAAAAATTAGCAAACAAGAGAGCACGTTGATGAATGGAGAGTCGTCTCTAGGTGAGCACATATAAGTACGCTTGTGATCTCCAATCTTTTTCTAAATCACTGGAATATAATGCATTGAAATTTGGTTGTACGAAATATAAATATTTAAATTAATAATAGGAGAACTAAGACATATGATATATTATATTTGATTATTGCATAGTTGTAAAATATTCGTTGAATATCGGTAGCGCAATAGAATGGAAAGATCATGTTCATGCATGGTGACATATTGAAATGCACATTTTCTCGTTCATGGTTGCATTTTGAGATACTTAGATGTTTATAAAAATAGATCAGTTGGATCACCTATTTATTTAGTTATATAGAATTGAATGATTCCATGCAGTCTTAGAAAATTCAAACATATAACCCCCCGCGCAAAAAGAACTATAGATGTCAGATTTTGCGCACCTCTTGATTTACATTTTTTTTGTAGACTACGAGTTAACCCATTTTATCACAAAATGGAATACACATATAGGCCATATTATGAGTATGCAGCGAGTTTTCTTTTGTCTCAACTTCAAAATTCATTTTCTGTTTTTTGTTCTTGAAAATAAACAAAACACATGTGCTTGGGTGTACAAAATCTATGTCCAGTTGATGTGCCCCGGTTCCAACATGCTACGGTGAATTTTGCATATATAAAATGGTCAGTGCCTGGTTGCAGACGCATATCTTCTTGTTTTTATGTACAACTAGCTGTATTATTGAACATTCTTTTAAGAGGGGGCACAAGTTTTTTCCCAGCACGTGTTTAAGTATTGTACATAGGACATATATAGGCCTAGTAGGGGGGTTGAGGTCTATAGAGTTTTCAGGCTCAACATAACCAACTTGTACTGCGTGCCACGTCGTGTATGTGATATATAGTTAAATAAATCACATCATGTGGATTTAAGATATTATCTCTCCCGATTAATCCACTTTGAGAAAAGGAAGCTTCTTAATTGTCGTCTATCCAATTTAGGTATGATCATGTGCCCTTTCTTCTGCACACCACTATCAATACTTGAAAATGCTACTTTTATACTTATTCGAGGAATCAGGGGTACCCGTAGTCTAAACTTCAACATTCAGCAACGTAACATACTGATATTTTTGACAAACAATGAATTTTATTAGCTTAAAATAAAGCATCAAAAGGATACAAACATAATGAGCACACACTTGTCTTCGCATAATCAAGATGCACACAACCAACACAAACAAATACATACAAAGAATCATGCTGACAAAAAGCAAAGTCATACAAGACTGAAGAACTACAACAACGACCATCTGCATCAGCCATCTATTGATGTTAGAAGGACAACGAGAAGGGTTCTCTAGCAACAATGTCTCAGGAAGAGAATGGCGTTCAAGAGTCGCCATTGCCGAATCTAACCACCAAAAGTTAGATCTTGGATTTTTACTATGAAGATCAAGTCCGAAAATTTGAACAATGCATTCAACAAGGTAACGACGCAAAAACACAGCCATTGCCTGGTATAACCAACTAGGGTTTTCACCCCGGAGCTAAAGACCCAATACTAAAGAAGTACCATTAAATCGAAGTCATCATGTGCTGTTACTACACTTTCATCGACCATATATCTGCAAGTAATGTTATTCATGAAAATTAGTAATACCGTCTTGCTCTGTACCATAATTTCTAGCTTGCTACTAATTCGACTCTCATTCTTTTCAAGATATTGTTGGGGAACGTATCAGAATTTTAAAATTTTCTACGCATCACCAAGATCAATCTATGGAGTCATCTAGCAACGAGGGAGAGGGGAGTGCATCTACATACCCTTGTAGATCGCGAGCGGAAGCGTTCAAGAGAACGGGGTTGATGGAGTCGTACTCGTCGTGATCCAAATCACCGATGACCTAGCACCGAACGGACGACACCTCCGCGTTCAACACACGTACGGTTGGGAAGACGTCTCCTCCTTCTTGATCCAGCAAGAGGAAGGAGAGGTTGATGGACATCCAGCAGCACGACGGCGTGGTGGTGGAAGCAACGGTGATCTCGGCAGGGCTTCGCCAAGCTCCAATGAGAGAGAGAGAGAGGTGTTACATGGGGAGAGGGAGGCGCCAGAGACTTGGTGTGGCTGCCGTCCCTCCCCCCCACTATATATAGGGCCCCTAGGGGGGCGCCGGCCCTAGGAGATGGGATCTCCAAGGGGGGCGGCCAAGGGGGGGAACTTGCCCCCCAAGCCAAGTGGGGCGCCCCCCACCCATAGGGTTTCCAACCCTAGGCGCAGGGGGAGGCCCATGGGGGGGCGCACCAGCCCACCAGGGGCTGGTTCCCCTCCCACTTCATCCCATGGAGCCCTCCGGGATAGGTGGCCCCACCCGGTGGACCCCCGGGACTCTTCCGGTGGTCCCGGTACAATACCGATTACCCCCGAAACTTTCCCGATGGCCGAAACTGGACTTCCTATATATAAATCTTCACCTCCGGACCATTTCGGAACTCCTCGTGACGTCCGGGATATCATCCGGGACTCCGAACAACTTTCGGGTTACTGCATACTAATATCTCTACAACCCTAGCGTCGCCGAACCTTAAGTGTGTAGACCCTACGGGTTCGGGAGACACGTAGACATGACGACTCTCCCGTCAATAACCAACAACGGGATCTGGATACCCATGTTGGCTCCCATATGTTCCACGATGATCTCATCGGATGAACCACGATGTCAGGGATTCAATCAATCCCATATACAATTCCCTTTGTCAATCGGTATGTTACTTGCTCGAGATTCGATCGTCGGTATCCCAATACCTCGTTCAATCTCGTTACCGGCAGGTCACTTTACTCGTACCGTAATGCATGATCCCATGACCAAACACTTGGTCACATTGAGCTCATTATGATGATGCATTACCGAGTGGGCCCAGAGATACCTCTCCATCATACGGAGTGACAAATTCTAGTCTCGATCCGTGTCAACCCAACAGATACTTTCGGGGATACCTGTAGTATACCTTTATAGTCACCCAGTTACGTTGTGACGTTTGGTACACCCAAAGCACTCCTACGGCATCCGGGAGTTACACGATCTCATGGTCTAAGGAAATTATACTTGACACTGGAAAAGCTCTAGCAAACGAACTACACGATCTTGTGCTATGCTTAGGATTGGGTCTTGTCCATCACATCATTCTCCTAATGATGTGATCCCGTTATCAATGACATCCAATGTCCATAGTCAGGAAACCGTGACTATCTATTGATCAACGAGCTAGTTAACTAGAGGCTTACTAGGGACATGTTATGGTCTATGTATTCACACATGCATTATGATTTCCGGATAACACAATTATAGCATGAACAATAGACAATTATCATGAACAAGGAAATATAATAATAATCATTTTATTATTGCCTCTAGGGC